AATCGAATGTATCTTCATGATATGTTCTTCTACACAATTGTTCTATGTTGATTGGTAATTATACAAGAAAGAAAAAACGAATAGTCTTTCCTGATTTCCAGTGTTGTGCTATGCGCTTAAAGTTTGACTTTTGACCAGTAAAACCAGTTTATTAGGTTAATTTAACAAGGTAATTTTTATAAAATAAACCAAATCAAACGTTCGCATCATTGTGATAACCCATGATGTATATAAGCAACCGTATACAAATAACCACTACCTACCTCGTTATCTAATACTAACTGGGTGTTCACAAAATTTCATGATATCAAGTATTGCAAGATTTTTGTATGTGTCATTAGATTTTGTTTAGGTTAATTTGTTATATGCTAATCAACTGATAAAATGTGATCGAAACATGGTAACAGAAAAGTTTGATTTTCCGGTCTATTATACACTGAACATGGAGTTTAGATACGGTTAGTTTAAAGTTTAATACTATTCAGAATTTACCATTCCAAACCTTTGGAAATAAACTCAGTAATCAGGGATATCACCTACTAAGAGAATTTGATCAAAAGATTAGTTCATTCATTAGAATAGTACTCCGTTTCACTGAGGATTAATGATATTTAAAATCATTAAAGTTAGACATGATGACAGAATAACCGTTATATATAAAATTATGTGTAAACTGCACTAAAATAGATACCACTCGGGCATTTTTAGTATTAAATATTCTACAGTATTTTGAGGTTTTGTTTATTAACTAAGATCAAAAATCCATGGATTCGATTCCTGGTTGGATTATGGTACTCACTGTTGTGGAGTCTCATATAAATAGTCATTAAATACTCTCCAATCAGTCTTTGATGAATATGACTCGAAAATTAACCTAATATTCATAGAACCCCTACGTCCAAACTACAATAATCAGCTAATTAGTGACTTATTTCAAAATTTCCCTAAAGTTCAAATGAAAATCTTTGACTGACTGAATCCAGTCAGTGATACAGTAGTCACCATTGTTATTGAATAACCATTGATCTATATCACAGATCGTTTGAAGTTGAAAATGTATCAATGATTATGATTTCGTTATGATGCTTGAAGTTCATGAATTGGATCCATGATGGGATAGGAGATCTGTACTTTTAAGAAGTCCCATATTAAAACGAAGTAGCCGATCAGTGTTCCCTGACTTTCAATAATGTTCTATTTATATTCAAAAAGTTTTTCTGTTAAATTCACGAACACTGTTAAAATTCTATTGTTTCGTAGTAATGTCAACTGTACACCATGATTTCTGTGAGTGTTTAATTCTTTATAAAAACCACCTCAAATTTACTTAAATCTAGAATTTTAATTTTAGTTAATAATCACTTTATTAAAATATAAAAAAATTAATTAGTAAGAGAAAAGAGTTCTTTTTCAACAATCAGTTCTACATTCCTACTGAAACATTATAGAAAGAATTGAACCAAAAAATCATTTAATTTAATTGTCTTCTCATCACCACTGTCATTACTACCATGGTACGGTGTGTGCTACTGATGTCGACAGATATAAGTAGTATGTATCATGAATAGAAAGTGAAATACTTGGCGGTAGAAGGTTAAGAGGATCGGAGAAAAGAGGACGAACACAGGGAATGATTGGTGTGGAGACGAGTGGACGATCAAGTCTGAGACGATTGACTGACATTTTGTAAATAAAGTATTTACTGTATGGTTCTTAGATTTTACTAAGATGTTCTGTAAGTTATATAGTTACAGTTATATAATATATCCTTGTGGGCCAGGGCAATTTTACATTGGTTTTCAAGAGAACCAGACACCACTCAGACCGTCACGTGACAACCCAGACAGTACAGTTCAGTCCCGTTTCACAGGAGAACCAGAACGATACAATCTGAATAGTACAGCTCAATCCTGTGGTGCAACCACATAGGTACCAACCACCCTGGTGGACCAAAAATGTTCTGTAAGTTTGTGTCCAAATACATCCGATTATCCCCCACTTGTGTTCTCGTTCACTACAATGGTTCTTTTTATCATAAATTTTCTCAAAATTTTACACTCGGACGTGAACAAACTTACCATACTTGTACTTCTCCAGCTCAGAAAATGTAATATCGCTAACAACATCCATATTTTTTTCCAATCAGTTTTTCATTTCATGTCGGGGTTTCTTTGTATCGCAAAGGTTTGTGTAGTTTGTTGAGTTTTTTTTCTAGTTAAGATCAGTCTATGGTGTTAACTATAAAACTTGTTATTTTATTGAATAGGTTTATCAGAGACTAAGTTAATTTGAAGGTGGTATTTATCGTAGATTGATCACAGTTGGGACACAATTAAAAACTAGAAAACACTAAATATGTCTTTCTTATTATTATGTGATCTCGCGATTATGTTCATTTATTACTGTACTAGGATTCAAGCTTAGAACAATCAAATATCACCACTAAACTATACAGCTGTTATATATTAATACATATTTACAGTTTCCACTTAGCTTGATTGTGATTTTCTCACTGTTATTGTATTTGAATATAAATAATAAAACCCATACCAGTCAAATGATATTGTTTTCTTACATAAAGGATATTGTATTTTTAATGAGATAATTCAAAAAACCATGATAGGGTATTCAAAATATTCAGAGTCAATCAGTCAGTGATCTTCAGTGCTGTTAAAGGTATGCGGGCAGTTATCACTTTTCGGTTGCCCACATCGTGGAAAGGTTCTTCTAACGGTACCTGAAATGGAAGTTGGGTTAGGAGTGGTCTTAGTGACCAGACAGCGTGATCGCAGTGTCCAAGGAACAACTGCTTGAGGTCAGTCACACACAACCTTTTTGTGAGTAATTTTCGTGTTAGCTCCGTACTTATTCGGACCTTACCGCCGGAGACGGAAATCCGTAGGATAAAGTGAGATGTGCATTTTTAGGGTCGACCTTTTCTAACCCCACACCTCCTTGTGTACAATCGGCAGTACGACTTCGCCTTCCGACATTGGGTTTGATGCTTTTAGTCTTACCACTCTTCAACCGACTTTTCTGACATGATAGAACCTTGAGGAACGACTGTTGTAGCCAGTATAGCTCGGTTGGTTCATCACCATAGGCAAGGTCGACCACTACGTCAAGGTAGCACGAACATTCGGGAAATATTCAGAGTAATTCACTGTAGATGAAATTTAATATCTGGTCACAAACATTTAATAAATTGCGTAATTCCTAACAAGATAACTCATCAAACATTTTCGATAAGATGAACGGTATGGTAATAGTTGTGTTCGCATAAAGCCATTAATAATAATAATAAATAGACTAACTGACTATAGCGGTGTCTAGCGTAGAAAGAGTGCTGTACACTCCATTTATGAGCCTATGGGTTGGATCTCTCAACATAGATGTATGTATATCATGTGACGAATTTTCTAGAATATGACATATTAATGGAAGAGCTTCAGTTAAGTTTAATTAACATCCTTTATTAATTAAGTGAAGAGGTAAAATGCTTTATAGAAAACTTTTAACTTCCCCCTACCTACTAAATAAGTTAGGTTGACTTTCATAAATCCAATTATAACATTATTTATTCAAGTGATTCCGTGATTTTAAAAAATTTATTTTCAGGAAACAGCTTCATTTACTTATGTAAGTGATGTTTAGTGCATTGCACTCTCAACAGTTTGGAGACAATTTTCATCTTTACTAAAAAATTGACATCGGCTTTACTAACAAGTTCTTCAGCGACCGCCTTCAACTATGCAACATTCAACATATAGCAAACAATGTCAAGTCACTTACACTAGTGGTCACATTGCAACTTAATCCATAGAACTCAATGAGGAATAAATGAAGCAGACAACCATCATATTGGCTAGGATTCAGTGATTAGTCAGTATAAGCATCTTATTCCAACACCAGTTCAGCCGTGTTCTGAATAGCTCATTAATAAAGTTCGGAGATGTGGGTTCGAATCCCACAAAAATCATCAGTACCCTAATAATTCTGGTCACACTTAACTTAAGACTACTAACTAGTAGAATATTCATATCAATCAGGATTACAAATCTACAAATCACAACAGCCTGATATCAACTACCGCTTTTTACTACTGGATGAGAATTTTGATTTGATTTTCCAGTTTATCATGACTTTTTTCAATGATCGGCTTAGGATAATAATAATAATAATAATAATAATAATAATAATAATAATAATAATAATAATAATGGAACTATGGCATTAAGTATGGGCAATTAATTCGTTTTATGTTATCCAGCATCCTTTCCTCATTTCTACACTAGTTTTCTACTCCGTTTGTTATAGCCTCCAAACTTATAGATTGTCTGATATATATATATATATTGAACACGTCTACATTTTAATATTTAAATGCGTGCAAACTTGTATTTATGCATATGTGCAATGGTATGTCATTTTTACGGTTTCATTATTAGATAGGCTAGTAGAAGTATGGTTCATCAAGTAACTAACTAACTAACCCGTATGGTTATACGTGTATTCAGAGAAGAAATAAATTTCATCATTGTGGGGGGGATTTGGTCTATCTATCACTCTCCCTCTTTCTCTCTCCCGTTGACTTTTCGTACAATTTATACATACGTACATTTTATTATTATAGTGATCATAGGTCAAAATCCCATACGCACACACACACACACAGACTCATCACTTACACACATTAACATTGTATAAATAATGATACAGGAAGAGATGTTTAGAATTATTGTGGTATCGAATAAACACACCCAATACAAAACAAAACAAAAACCCATTCCAAATGCATTTTTTGTAATTGATTAACGTACTGTGTGTGTAATGAGACTGCTATGTATATATAATGTACAGGTGAAAATGTTGCTTCCATCCATTAGAAATCATATCCATGAAACTAAATGTATGATACAAACAGTTCATTAATAGACACATACACATAAGCACATTTGTATACGTGTAACCTTATATATCATACATAACAAAAAAGACCTGGCACCAAATTCATACTTCTGGCGAATACGTAAATATGTATTCATAAGTATCAGCATATCAATATATTTATATTTATACCTAGGCATGAACTTTAGTAAACATAATAATAGTAATAGTAATAAACATTATCATTATTTTATTTTACTAATACCATATTACTATTATCATTAGTATTATTATTCAACCAATCAAACAACTAGAACAATGGAAAATTTCAGAATTGACTCATTAAAACAAAACAAAACACGCACCATTATAGTTTGCTAAACACACAATGACTAGGTTTCATTCATTATTCAACTTCATAATGAGTAGTTTATACTAATCAAATAATTGAATAGTCTATTTAAATGTTCTTTATTCAATACAATATTATCAACTTGGAATATAATAATTCAATTCAATGATTTCAAGGGAATTCAATGATGAATACAAGTATACATTAATAACTGGATATTTAATTGTAACATTATAATAATACCATTTATCAAAAGTTCTGACAGGAACCACCCACTACTACTACTACTACTAGTACTAGTACTAGTACTACTACTGAAAAGGACAAAAGTGATAACTAATATATAATAATAACTGAAAGATTATAACTGGTATAATTAAAATGGATTTTGTAATTTTAAAGGTAAGTTTTGATAATACTTTTTTTCTTATTCTTTCTTTCTCTATTTATTATTAAGTTTGAATTTTGTAAAGAAATATGCAATCTAATAGTTGAATTCATGATTCAATTGAAGATAGATCATCATGGAAAACCTGGAAGCACTGAATGGCCGTTTCGTCCCGATATAGTACTCCTCAACAGTGCCTATCCATGATCCCGCCACTCGCGAGATTTGAATTCAGGACTTATAGGTCTTGCGCGCGAACGCTTAACCTCTAGACCATTTAGCCAACCGGCATCCAACGGTGTTAATATCTAATTTCAACCAATCCACGAAATTGAAGGACATATCCGCCATTGTCATCAGTGAGTTACTATCTCACAACAGACCTGGTTGAACTCTACTGGTCATGGCTTCTCACTAGAACTCCAAGAAATACCTTTTTGGAGACAATCACTAGTGAGCATATGATGATTATAATCAAAGGAGTTTTGTGGAGATTGTAGTAACTTAATAGTTTCTATTTCTATAAACCCCTCTCTAAATATGCAATCACTGATTGCAGTATTATAATCAAAATTATTAATAAAATCCTTTATAGTATTGTATCTTTGTCAAAGAACCTAGTCTTTTTTACGTATCGTTTATAGCTTTAAAAAAATAACTCGATTATCTTATCCACCACTTTAATGATGTAAGTTCCTATACAGTTTCAATGGAGATTTATATAAGAAAAAGATATCTTCTATTCTTTTGTACAATTATCAGACATAATTTCATACAAAAATTACAGATATTAATAACTACAAAATATGAATTAATGATAAGCAATGTAACCTGACGACTGTAATTACTAAATGCACATTGAGTTGGTCAGATGCGATAATTTATGTTTAAGATTATTTATTGGTGAATAATGATCGGTCGGAGAATACTATTCACAATGTCGCTGCGAAGAATGCTATTTTTAAAGAATCAGAAATTCTCCTCTTTAGGATGTATATGGCTCTGTCACCCATGAAGTCGATATTCATGTATAAAATTTTCTTTTCTACTGTAATTATTTGTGTTTTCGGAGTTCTCGGCTTTATGTTCTTATCAATGAATAATAAAGGATACTCGTTTTTGATAAGTATCTACTTTAAGAGGCCCAATTCTTTATCTATGACTCCGGGACTACAGATTCTTCGTATTCTTGTGACGAGTGTTATTATTAAGTTTTTTTTTCTACGAATGGGAATCCAGCTGTGGGAACTTGATAGTTGACAATTTTACATGGGTCACTACTAAAGACTGGTCAGTTACAGTCCTGATTATTAACAAAGGGAAATAATAAATATTTTCTAACAACAACCTTATATTGATGAATATTTTCTTCTTCATTCTTTAATTCATTTTAGCTATGCTGTTTTTATAGTGATTATTACTGATCATATCTATACTTCGTTGACTAATTTAGTTATATCAATCTAAGACTGATAATCTTCTATCTTATAAATTAAGATTTAATCATGTTGTAGTGCAGAAACAGTGAATTCATTCAATGATTTCTTTAGCATTCACTGATGAGTTTTACAATACAAATCAATATACTGAAATATATCTTCTTTATAAGCTCAATCTGTAATATCTTCATTACTAAATACATAAAATTATATAGTTATATTCATTTGATGTTGTTTACCTGTATCTTCCCATTGTTATTTAGAACAGTCTCTTGTTGGCATATGTGCATTATGTAGTTATATTTATCTTATGTATGGATAATTATACTAAGTCAAAAAGTATAGTGAACCCTAGTAATAACTGTTAGTAAATGTTATGTTGATATTGTCATTGAATCCACTTTTAAGGATGAATAGTATGACTTATAGACTGGTTATAAATCTATATTTCTAATCCATTGATAATTGAAACGATTAGTAGTACGCTTGAATATAATAGAGTATTGGAATAGGGTTGTGGAGATCGTTGAGTTTTAATTGAGATCATGAACCGATCACTGTCAGGCCACCATTGAAAACCTGGAAGCACCATAGTATGGGATTCCTCAGCGGTGTGCATCCATGATCTCGAACGTGGGACTCAAACCTAGGAACCTCGGTCTCTCGCGAAAACGCTTAACATCTGAACCACTGAGCTGGCATCCAATGACATTAATATCTAACTTAAACCAATCCACGATATTGTGCGACCATTTTTTACTATCTTCAGTAAATAACTACCCCACACCCGACACGGATGAAATCCACTGGTCACGGCTTCTCACTAGAACTCCGAGAATTACCTCTCGAAGCTAGTGAGTACATGATAATAACCAGTATAGTGTGGAGATTGTCGAATTTTGAATGAGATCATGAACAAGCATTCTCCATCAAACTCTGTCCTAGACAATACATTCCAGTCATTAATCATCCTTTCCATGTCTGCTTTCAATGCCAACATAGTGTGTTCTTTGGCCCTCCTGTTTTCCGTTTCTCTTCACGATTCCAAGTTAGGGCTTGCCTCATGATGTAGTTTGATGATTTCCTGAATATATGCCCCACCAACCACTCCTATCGTCTTTTTTTAATCTTCTCCTCAACTGGAACCTGGTTTGTCCTCTCCCACAGTAGACTGTTGCTGATGGTATCTGGTCAACGGACATTGAGTATCAAATGTAGACAACTGTTTATAAATACTTGTACATTTTTGATGATGGTTCTCGAAGTTTTAGCTCCGTACAGTCGGACTGTCTTGATATTCGTATTGAAGATTCTGAATTTGATGCTGGTGACTGAGTTGTTGTTCTTCGTGTTTTATTTGAAATAATTTAACTAAAACGACTTAATAACATGCACATTACTACGTACGAAAAAAATTCACATGGAATGCATAGTTAATTAACACAAACCACAAACTTTTTTTACCAGATACTAAATAACGAATGTTAAAGTTGAATCAATATGATTTACTGTGATTTCTTTATAAAATTATTGGTCAATGTAAGATTTTCTAAACTTGCAGACAGTCAACAACACAGAGTTATCAATGGAGTTTAGGACGTATATATCGTTTTATATTATCGTCATTTGAACCTATATGCACTCTAGTGTGTTGATACTTACAATGAAACTAGAGCTCAGTACGACTCACTTCAAACGACAACGTATTATTCATTAAGATACTGTATCCAGACAAGTACTAGCTTGTGAAACGGATATGAAATTTCTTTGCAAGTGTTTGTAGCTAAGTAGTAATATCTAGGCGATCCACTCAAAGTGCGAAAAAAATAACTCCTACCACATAATACTATATAGATTACATCATTGTGAGTGCATATACACATTTGTTTGAATATATTCATAGGAGACATTCCATTCTACTCATATATGTACAACATTGCATAATTTATATTATAAATCAAAATAGCATTCAATCTTTACTAAAACTTATATTCCATTACTTAACAAAAATGCAAAGATAACCTACTTCACCAGTGATAATAATAATAAGAGTTAATAATGTTTATATTTATTAAGAAAATATAAGATACACCATAGAACGTTTTGTTTAACTAAACGAGAATATTTCTATAATTAGCTATTACAGAGACTCCGCCTAGAGCCCGTCTTAGGCTACTGCCTGTCCCAATCCCGGATAAAGGAGGAGGGTTGGGCATGGTGTTAGCGACCCCATCCCGTAGAAAACTAACTCGCTAAAGAAAAACGCTAACTAGAATCATATGATATATGAATGAAGTGTCTACTTATTTTCTCTAACAAAATTTACAACACAATGTTTATTAATATCAGATGGGTTTTATGGATATTATAGCAATTTCAATGGTTAATATCATGAGTCAGTTGAAGCTAGACCACCATTGAAAACCTGAAAGCACTGGATAGATCTATGGTATTATCACCAAATTCTAGTTTATTATACAGACACAAAGGGAATTTTCTCTGATTGATATATGGTAGTCAATTGTTGTGGTTACCTTCGTTAAATGATATCTTTTTCAATGGTTAAGATCATGAGTCAGTTGAAGCTAGACCACTATGGAAAACCTAGAAGCACTGGACGGTCGTTTTGTCCTATCTTGAGACTCCTCAGCAGTGTGCATCCACGACCTCGCACCCTGCGAGATTCGAACCCAGGACCTTAACAATGTTTATTGTTAAGTGTTGTGTGATGATAATTGAATAGTAGATTGACTAAGGAATTGTTGAAATAAAACTAATCAGAATACCTGATTGTCACCATTCAATTAAATGTTTATCATAGATTTTTATCTGAATTATAGTGGGATTAAGATATGATGTTTATTTTAGTAACATGCACATGTACGCTCATTTCATATGCATTTAGTTTCAACCTAGTCTAATTGGTAAACTTCAAGTACGCTCAATATGGAATGTATCTATAATATACATACAAGTAAAAAAGAAAGATGTTTTTTTTTCAAATAATCTCCTTCCTAATATTGAGTCCTGAATAATCTATTTATTGATTATCTTGTCAAATAATTCAATTAGGTACTTTACTGTAGTTGGAAATGTTTTGAAGCCACCAACTGATTCATATTTTCTGTTCCGGTTTTTACATTACATTATCACTAATCAACTAAATGAAACATTGAAACTATACATAATTAAAAGAGTTTTAAGTAATAATATACTTTGATATATTTACTGAATAATTAATTCTGTCTAATTTGTTGTTATCTGATAAAAATGACATTACATCAGTAAATAGACAATAACAACTAATAACTATGGGAATATAAAATGAATTTACTGAACAGATATCAAATATCTTTTTTTGTTTCATAATTATGTATTTTATTAATTAAATTCATGAGTCAGTTGAAGCTAGACCATCACGAAAGCCTGAAAGCACTGGACGGTTGTTTCATCCTAGTATGGGTTCCTCAACAGTATACATCCATGGTCGCGCATGCAGGACTTGAACCCGAGACCGTCGGTCTCGTCAGTGAATGCTTCACTCCTAAACCACTGAGCCGACATACGACGGTGTT